AGTAAAACTGCCCCATAGGGTTCCCAAGGAGAGGCTGGTGGGTTTGAACTGCCAACTTTTTGGTTAGCAGCTGAGCTGTTAACCACTGCGCCACCAGGGCTCCTCCAGCAGGGGCATATTAACCAGTAAGCATGGTTCTACCAGCTTACAGCAAGCAAGGTACACGCGGGCTTAATTGTGTTTACTTACTAATCTGTAGTGCCCGATTTCACGTGGGTTTCACCACATCTTTGATGACTGGTGGTATGTGTCCAGGTGGTATGTGACCAGACTTTTTTTTTTCCCCAACCTAGCTCATGGAGCTTTATTCATACCAGAGTGACAAGATCCTGCTTGGTTCCTGCTGCCCGTGAAGGGACATGGGCCATGTTCCATAGGAACGTGATAAAGGCCTGTGTTTGCCCTCTGCTTTCTTCAGAATTCTTAGAACTAGGGCTGGGGCCTGCCTAGAAACCCCTTTTTACCCATCTTTGATGTGGTGAAAACTGGGAAAAATTGTGCACCACAGGATGAGTAAGTAAGCACAATTGAGCCTCTGCGTACCTCATTGTTGGTAATCCATCCCTGCTCAATTGGACCTAGCACAATACATAGGAGAAAGACGTCCAGTAAAAGTTCTTGAAGGGAGATTGGAGGAGGAGGAAGGGGGAAAGGCATGGATACTGCGAGCGCAGCAGGGAAAGGCAAGGTGCCAACCCGTTAACTGAACGCTCATGGCTTCACGTGCAGGGCCATGCCTGCCTCTTCTTCATGCCCCACAGTCACTCCAAAACTCCCTTATCAGCATCAGTACAGAGTCTAAGAGTAGGAATGGCTGACCCCCAAAATGAGTCCGCCTGCTGGAGAACATGCATGTGGAGAAGCAGTCAGGCCTCCATCTGAGTAGAAGCCTGGCCTCAGGCAGGCGGTGGGCTTTCTCGGACACTGGCCCCCTGGGGACTTGCCTCTCCTTTTTCACCTGCTGGACCCTCATAGGAAGTTCCGTGTTTTCACCTCAGAAATCTCTAAGAGGTAGGTAGATCCCCACTTACTCTGGGTATGTCTTAATTATGTCTCCTTCCATTAATACTTTATATATAGCTAGAGGTCTGAGGGCACTAGACTTGTAATGTAGCTGAGAATTAATGACTATAGTGGAGCCAATTCTTGTAGCCAAGGGTGATGGTGATTGATGCTTTAAAAATACTTACCCAGATGTAGATCTTTAACCTGGACACTTGCCAGAGTCTCTCATGGAGATGGTGGGGAGTGGGGGACCACTACTTCACTGGGCACACGTATCTAGATTTACTTGTCTGGAACGAGATTTCTCTGGTAATGTGGCCACGAACAATTCAGTTACATGCTCCAGAGGCGCTGTGGGCTGGCCTAGTGCCCCATGGATCTAGTATTCCCTCCAGGAGTATTTGCTAGCCAAGGAGAGACTGTCTTTAGTCTACACCCTCTAGTCTTGGAAAAAGAAAAACAAACAAACCCCTTGCTGTCAAGCCAGTTCTGACTCATAAGTGACCCTATAGGACAGAGTAGAACTGCCCCATAGGGTTTCCAAGGAGCGCCTGCTGGATTCGAGGTGCCCATCTTGTGGTTAGCAGCTGTAGCTCTTAACCACTGCACCACCATGGAAACGCTCCCTAAAAAGCACACAGCGCTGAGGCCAGCTTATTACCTCCTCTGGTTTATACAGCACTACACTCAGCCTGCAAGAGCGGCCAGGAAAGGTGTGTCAGGTCCTAGGATCAGGGATTGCAGGTTGAGCGAGGGTTAGGTTTCATGTTGTCTGGAAGCCATAGTCTCCTCTCCTCTCAGGGCCATCTGGCAGGATTGAAGAGCCATTGCATACTGTTCATATTTTTAGTTAAATGTATATGGTTATGCCCATATGTACATATACGATTAAATTATTTCAAGTTTTTAGGTCCTCAGCTTCACTGTGTAACATTGGATGGCTTCTGGCTTTCTGATACACAATCTAGCAGTGCTTTGGGTGGTTGATTGGCATCATGCGATCTCTCAATGCTTTGCGCAGGCTCACTCTTCCATATTACCCGAGGGGCCATGGACCATTCCGACTCCATGACTCATGCCCACTCTAAATTTACCCTCCCACCTTTGATGCCCGCCCCCAACAGCCCCATGTCTGGAGATTGGCGTCATAAGGAGCTGGACATACACCACCAGTCATTAGAGGCTCTGTTGTTATGGAGGCCTCAGGAGCCCCAGCTGCTTGGAGAAACGGGGACTCCCCAAGGCAGCTATGTGGCACCCCCTGGTGGCAGAATTACTAAAGTCACTCTTAAGTGTGCCCCACATAACTCTTCCTCATAGTATCAAAACAGGGCTGAGCCAGGCAAAATGAAACAGACAGGGCTGCCCATGGTACTGCCCTACACTCACATCCATCCTCCTCCACCAGACCTAGGGTTCTCCGAAGCCAGCCTGTCCTCATCATACGTCATATTGAAAACATCTGCTTCTATCCTTTCTGTCAATATCTATTCTAGGGGTAGAGAAAATCATATAGACTTATTCATACTAAAGTGTTAATGATTCATGCATATCCCAAGATATTTGCATTTTAAGGCAGTTACATCACCACTGACTCCTCCCAGTAGTGCTCTAACCATGAATGCTAGGCAGTCATGACTGGTTAGAGAGAGAATTGTTAGACTGGAAAAGGCAGGAAGAAGAAATCTATCGATCTGCCCTGTGACCAAAGCAGACTCTTCAGCAGCCATCACTGACCTGTGGCTATAGTGTCAGACTTCTGTATACTGCCACCATTTTATACCGTATGCCCCTGCCACTTAACTTTCACTGAACAATAAAAAAAATTCCAGTAATTCATGAAAATATCCCAATTCCCAGGTAAGCACATTGTTAAAAAACCACCTCTTTGCATGTATACAAACTCTGTTTCTTTTACACTTATACACACACACGTACATGTATACTCACATACACACACATACACACGTACCCATGGTCCAGCCTCACGTGAATATGGTTGCTTTTATCTCGTACACGGACTTAGAGTGTCAGTGGACAGTATTTTAAGTGCCTCCCATGTCGATCACCACAGGCCTCTGCTGAGGGGGGCAAAAGGAAGAGACCCCTGTTCATTCATAATGATGGGCAGGATTGAGAACAAATAGAAATGGCAGACATGCTAGTTGGTCCAGTTAACCAAGGACACCTCCCATGTCACTTTTCTTGGCTTGGTCTCACTGCCCCAGCCTGCTCCCTTCACCTCACCAGTTACTGTTTATCAAGGCTCTACTCTGTTTCAACATGGAGTAAGACTTGATGAGAGAAGGCCCCTTTGAGCCAGTGGGGTGCTGAGTTTGTGACTCGCAGGCAAAGATTGTGTAGCTGCTTGTTCCACCTGCAGGTGGTCACTTTGAGAGTGGGCGGGAGGGGAATAATCTATAAGAAATGGGAATAAGTAATCAACTTGGAGAGGGGATTGGACGTCCTAATAGGATGATGTTGACGTAGGGTCTCCTGATTGTAAGGGCAGATTCCTTCCAGTTATTCTGTTGGTTTTGTCTGTAAGTAACCTTGATCATGTACTGACACAGCTCATCTTAACCCTTTCCCTTAATAGGGGGAAGCCACTTGCTGGGGTGAAGAGGTTATGTCAGGATATGTCCTACTGAGGGAACTCAGGGCAAAGTGCACCAAGGAGCTGCAGACTTCAAGTCCTCCGTCTGCTGTCTGTGGTTGGTGTGAGGGGAATTAGCACAGCCTGGGATAAACAGAACCCTCAGAGGGCCACTAAGAGGAACCAAAGAGATGCCTCTTTGCATGCCTCCCTTGCCTACAAATGTCTCTCCTGAGATCTATATAAGTAGCATTCACACATACACACGTTGTTGTCAGGTGCTGGTTTTCCATTCATAGGGACCCCATGTGACAGAGTAGAATTGCCCCACAGAGTTTTCTAGCCTTTAATCTTTACTGGAGCGGAATAGAACCGTGTGTGCTTCGTGGGATTTTCAATGGCTGACTTTTCAGAAGTAGATCGCCAGGTCTTTCTCCCATTGGGTAGGTTCGAACTACCAGCCTTAGGTTAGCAGCCGAGTGCTTAACCATTGTGCCGCCAGGGTCCCACAGGCACACGCAGACACACACACTGCAGAATTTCCCGTATTGTGCACGTCATTTTGTGTGGAGATAAGTTTACATAAAATGCGACCCAGGGTTTCCAAATGAAACTTGCGTCTGGGGATCCGTGGGATGTGGCTCTGTTAACCCAGCGTTGAGAGGAACGTATTTCAGGAAGCCTACTGTGGAATAATTAGCCCCTAGCCAAGCTGCAGAGCCCTGAAATTTTCTTTTAAAAATGTTTGACGTTAGCAGGGAGTGATACAGGGACTCTCTGAGTGGGAATAAACGGGCAATCAGAGAGTCCAGTCAAGAGCAAAATGGTACCTTCACACCCAAAGGTAACAGGGAAAGTAGGCCCAGCCTCTTCAAAAGAGAGACAACTTGTTGTATACTCCTAAGAAGAACAAGGGCCCAGCCATGGTCTCTGACCTCATGGGAAACCCAGTCTGGAATAAAGAGAAGGAGTCCACGTCATCTGTCTGGCAAAATCCACTTAAAAAGACTGGGCAAGGAGAAACCACATTCTGTTGATTTCTGGTTTCTTTGGCCCAGCAAAATAAAGTTGCCAGACTAGAGCAAGGTCCCGTGGTGGAGACTGGGATGCCGGGTTGTTGAAAATGGCAGTCCTGCAGCGTTCATTCCCGGCAGTGACCCACTTCTCCTGGCCAGGGGCCTCGTGGATCTGTTGTGGACCCTTCTGCCAGGCCTGGGGAAAGGAAGAAAAGCAAGAATTGGAAATAGCTTTGGATCCGAGCTTTGTTTTATTCCTCTGACTAGCTCTATGCAATTGTTTTTACAGTTTTCAAATAGGATTATACTTACCCCTTCTCACTAACAGCAACGGAAGTTAGAGGCATTAACCCATTTGGTTCCCATTCTGTGTGTCTTTCCAGAAGGAGAAGAAGAGTGGGCTGCTGAAACTTCTGGCAGGAGCATCAACCAAAAAGAAGTCACGTTCCCCACCGTCTGTTTCGCCAACCCACGACCCCCAGGTGGCGGTGGATGCCTCACTCCAGGGCGCTGTGGGGCCTGAAGTGTCCTCACTGTCCAGCCACGGGAGGGCGGGCTCCTGCCCCATAGAGAGCGAGATGCAGGGCGCAATGGGAATGGAGCCACTGCACAGAAAGACGGGCTCCTTGGATCTCAACTTCTCCTTGTCCCCTTCGAGGCAAGTGCCTCTTTCCATGGCTGCTATCCGCCCCGAGCCCAAGCCGTTGCCCAGAGAGAGGTAAGGTGGGGAGAGGAAAAGGTGTGTCGTGGTGGTGAGGGAGTTGTTCTCTGCAGTCCTGGAGGCCACCTTTGAAGAACAGGGACAATGGGACTGACAGTCGTGGAGCTGTTCTGAGGATTACGTTTACCAAACATCCTTCACTATCCAAATCTCTTCAGTTCCTGAGTTTGGATAGTAAGCATCTGGGTAAAATGAGTTGTACAGAAGCATAACCGGGGTGCAACAGGTATGGCAGGTATCGCACCGGCCCTGGGCATGTGGCGCCACTGAGCAGTTTCTGTTAACCCGGTACAGACAGTGGCGTATCTATGAAACATGGCACTTTGGCAAGCACTGAAATTGCACCCCTGTCCAAACATCTGACAGCTCTCTTTTAGATAACTGTCATAATAGCAGCTCAAAACTACAAGTCAAGCTCATTAATCTTTTATTAACACGGTACCGTGCTTGAGGAAGGACATCGGGCCATACAGGGTTAATAGAAACTGCTCAGGGGCACCGCGCTCCTAGGGCCGGCGCAATGCCCTAGATACACCACTGTCATATTCCATTTTCTGAATCCATCTGGTTTTTGAGTTTGGGATTGCAAGGAATTCACTGAAAAATTTATCAGAGCCTATGAGATACTGAGCCCAAATATCAAGAAATGAAGCAGTGAGGGGGACCTGTGTTCCCATCAGTTCAAGGAATCTCTGGATTCTCTGTGGCAACCCTAAAGTGAAACCCCTAGGCTGTGTCCCCAGGGGCATATGTGCTCCACGCAGAAAGCGGCGTCTCTTCAACCTGAGTCCACTCTAACATCTCACAGTTATTCAGTGTTATCCCGAAATAAAGGGACCTGATGGTACAATGGTTAAGTGCTCGGCTGCTAACCGAAAGGTCGGAGGTTTGAATCTACCAGCAGCTCTGCGGGAGAAAAGACCTGGCGTTCTGCGCCCATAAAGCCAAGGAAAGCCCATGGGCCAGTTCTGTCGTGTCCTATGGGGTCATTAGGAGTCGGAATCTACTGGATGGCACACAACAACAACGAACCCGAACTAGGTTTCAGGAGTATTTAGTCCGTTAGGTTGAACCATGTGAAACTGCTGATATTCCTCCATTTTTTCCCAGAAGCAGCAATTTCGCATTGTTCAGCCTAGGGTTTTACAGATGAGGAGACGGAGCCCGAGAGAGGGGTGAAGTCAGGAGCCTCGGCCACACAGCTGTGGAGCCTGGACTCGCCCCCAGGCAGCAGGAGCCCCTGCTGGTTCTTCCCTGCATGGGAAGGAGCCTCAGGCTTGATTTTACAAGGGGTTAGAGGGCCCATTTCTTGCTCTATGGGTTGACCTATTGGAGCCCTGGTGGCGCAGTGGTTAAGAGCTTCAGCGCAAAAGGTCGGCCGTTCGAATCCACCAGCCGCTCCTTGGAAACCTTATAGGGCAGTTCTACTCTGTCCTATAGGGTTGCTATGGGTTTTGATTTGAGTGATCAGTCCTAAAAAGCTCTTATATAAAGGCTGGAAGGCATTATGGAGAGATAAAAATGATTGTCAAGATAGAGAGTGGGAAAATATTTTCCCTTCTAAGCTTCTTAACGTTGAAACACTGTTTAAACAGTAAAAACATTAACTATCTCCTGAGTAAATAATTATGCAATCTCCGTCAGTAATCCTCTCCCCCTGCTCAGCCACATTTACTGAGGGCAGGTTCCTCCATGTGTCTCAACTCTGTACCACGGCCTCTGTGAGTGGCCGCTGCAACTTGAGAAGGCCGTCTGCCATCCTGAGCGTCTGCTAACCGCAGAGACCAGCCCTTCTCACCGCCTTAGATCAAGGGTCGGCACACTTTTTCTGTCAAGGGGCAGATAGTAAATATTTTAGAGTCTGAGGGCCTTACGGTCTGTGTCGCAACTACTCAACTTTGTCTTTGTAGCACAAAGGCAGGCATAAACAACATGTAAATGAATGGGCATAGCTGTTCCAATAAAGCTTTACTTATTGACATGGAAATTTGAATTTCATATAATTTGCTTATGTCATGAAATATTATTCTTCCTTCAGTTTTATTTTCAACTTAAAAATATAACAACGTTCTTAACTCAAATTAGCCCACAGGCTGTAATTTGCCAAACCCTGATGGAGATGGCGGAGCTCTGGTGGTGCAGCGGTTAGGTGCTTAACTGCTAACCAAAAGATCAGCGTTTGAATCCACCAGCCGATGCTTGGAAACCCTATGGGGCAGTTCTGCTCTGTCCTACAGGGTCGCTATGAGTCGGAATGGACTCGATGGCAATGGGTTTGGATCTAGATGACTCACCGTTTCCGAGAGGAGCCTATTGGATGACATGGGGCCAGCAGTTATCAACTTGTGATAGACAGTTAAAATGTATGTCTGTATTTACACCTTTTTTAGAATAATAATAGCTACCATTTTTTGAATGCTCTGTGCAGCAGTGATATTCAGAACATTCAACAATTGGTATGGGTTCCAGCTATAACCATGGGGACAGCCATACCCTGCATATAGCTTAACATCTGCCCTTGCTATGTGCCCAGCATTTTTTAAATTATCTTCTGTGTATTATCTCATTTCATCTTCCCAAGGGCCCTATGAGTTCAATAATATCATTATCATCATTTTATAGATGAGGAAAGTGAGGTTAGTGAAAGGTTAAGTAACTTGCTTAAGATCACACAGATAGTAGCAGAGCCAGGGTTTGAACCTGAGGGTAGTCCGACCGCAAAGCCCAAGCTCTTAACCACTCCATTTGGTGGGAGCCACAGGATCAGCAGCCACCCCAGTATACTGCAGGGGGCCCACAAAGGGATCTAGATATCTTCAGTTTGTAAACGCTATAGAAAATGCCCACTCCCCACCAGGAGGTCATTGTGTCTGCACCCAGATCCTCCATGGTTAATTACTACTCCACTGTCCGTCCAAAGTGCAGCACCATTGTTGACCCAAACATGACATAACTAACTGCGGTAAAGTGCCTGAGCCACAATAAGTTCCCCAGAACCCGCCAATAACTGGATTGATACACACACACACACACACACACACACACACACACACACACACACACACGTGCACATCACTGCTCCCTGTCCCCTCTACTTCCTTTCTCCAGGGAGGTTCTTCCAATTTCGGGCAGCTATTAAATATTGGAACCTTCTTCCTTCCATGAGGCCAAAATACAGCTGCCTGGATTTCTGAATGCAGGTCCCAGTCGCTCCCTCCTGGGTCACACAGAGATGGTCAGCTGGCTCATGAGAATGATAGATTTCTAGATGTTTGAAAGCTGCTCTCATATTTTCCCTAAGTTTCTGTCTCTCCAGATCTTTCAAATTTATCTTCAAAGGCATAACTTCTGGACTCCCCAATAAGATATCTTAAAAGTCCCAGTTCTAAAGAATTATGGAAGTCTGTGAATAACTAGAAAATTCAGAGATTTACTCCCATTCTCTGACTATTCCGTCTAATTAGGGTGTTATTGTACTCAGAAAAGCCTAAAGCTACCCAGAGCCTCTTAACACCCTTCTTGTCCCCAAGCACACCACAGAGCCTCAATAATGAGAAGAGTTTTCAACAAAAGCTGCCTTAAACCACACTACTTCCTAATGAGTCACAGAAACTCCATCTGCCCTCAACGTTTGCAGCCCGTAAGACCACTTAGTATCCCGGGGAGCCCGGGAAGGTAGGAGCTGAGGATGTCACAGTGGAAATGCTTGCCCTTCAGACAACTCTGGGACAACTCCAGAAAGCACACAGACTACGGCCCTGGAGGCTTGTGAATAAAACTCGCCTAGAAGCTGGAGGAAGGGGAGCAGCTGTGATACTGCCACCTCACAGAGGCAAGAATCCCTGCTGATGGAGGCCCTGCGCATTCACTCACTTGCCAAATATTTATGGAGTGCCTGCTGTGTGCAAGGCCACTTTATGATCATGGAAGTGGGGAAAGCAATGGAAGGGCAGGATCGGGACAGCCAAACTCAAGGCCTTCACCACCAAACTCCTGAGAAGGAGCCCTCACCCCCCTTAGAATGATGGACTGGTTCCCGATGCAGCAATATTTGATGCCTGCATTTCTCAGATGTCTCCTATGCACAGACTCCCACGGATCTCAACCTGTGTGTCTCTCTTAAGGATTTGTGGGGACCACAGCAAGCTGCTCTCTTAACTGTGCTCCAAGGACGGAAGTTTAGTGTGAAGGGTGCTGCAGAGGCATGCCCTGGGGGAGGGAGGCTGCTCAGGGGAACGTACCTGGGTGAATTCTCATCAGCAGGGTCTGGCCCTTGGCCTGCAAGTTCAGAATCCCTGCCCTGTCAACTCTCTGGAAGCAAGTCTGTCTCACAGGAGTAGACCTATATGGAACAAGCTCACAAGCCTGATGTATAAAACCAGAGTGCCCATTATTAACTCCTTCCAAGGGGACTTAACTATTGGGTCATCTGAGCATATTCTTACCCTGTGGACAATACACATGGGAGGGCAAACTTTATAAAGTAGAGCTCATAATAGGAGGCATAGTTTAAAAAGAAAAAAAGTTGCCATCAATTTGATTCCAACTCATGGCAACCCCATGTGTTACAAAGCAGAACTGCTCCATAGGGTTTTCTTGGCTGTAATCTTTCAGAAGCAGATTGCCAGGCCTTTCTTTCATAGCACTACTGGGGTGGGGGGTTCAGACCGCCAACCTTTAGGTTAGTAGTCAAGCGCAGATTGTTTGTACCACCCAGGGACCTTACTTATGGGATGTGAATGCCACATGGCATCAGGTTAAAAGTGTCTCTAATACCTTCATCTCCCTAGCAGGGATACACCAACCGGGGACAAATCTAGTGCTGGGTCAGCTCCTCGTCACTCCCATCCTCTGGATTCCTGCCTCCTGGCTAATCTATATCTTGGCAATATTGCAAAGTGGCTTTGAGTAGAGACATTTGCTACTTATCAGCCATTTCACCTCAAACAACTTTCTTAATTTCGCTGAGTACCTATTAAAACTCATAAACCCATTGC